GGGGGTCCGCGTGCTTGAGGATGTCGCGGCCGTCCAAGAGGGACTGCTCGTGCAACTCTTCCACTTCTTCGGGCACCGAGGCGGAGATGTGCGGCGAGCGCACCCCCTCGGCGATGCACGCTTCCCATGTCTCGAAGGTCTCGCGCGAGTTGCTGTCGACCACGAACCGCTCGTGCGAATCGTCAATGCCCGGCGTGAAGCGGCCGGTGAAGCGCAGGCGGCCGATCTCGTGAAGGTCTTCCAGGCCGGGCGACTTCTTCGCCTCCCAGTTTTGCTCGGTGATGTAGTTCTGCGTGAGCCGCTTGCCGTTCTTGGTCGACCAGATGGGGATGTCGATCTCGGTGCTTTCGTTGTCCACCAGGTGCTGCAGCCAGAAGACGGAGTATCCGGTGGCGTGATGCTTCTTTTGGGCGTGGAATTCGAAGACTACGGGAGAGCGGTAGCGATGCTTGACGGGAAGACGGAGGCTGCGGCGGAAGTTCTCATCCGAAAGGTCGAAGCTGAGGTTGTTGTTCTCGTCAACGGAGCAAACGTGCTTGGTGATCTTGCCGCTACTGCCACCGGTGCGGAGCTTGATCTTGCAGCGTTGATTGAAGTTCACAGTGGTGAGCTTCTCGGAGACGAATTCGAAGGTGCCTACGTCCCAGCCTAGCATTTGAGGTGGGAGACGAGTCTCGACGGAGCGGAACAGAATGGAGATGCGGATGCGTCCGAATCCGATCCCGCCATCGAGAGGGTACCATCTAGTCACTTGGGAGCTGGTTTGCAGGAGGTCGGAGATCTTAAGAGGCACGACGCCCAGGATGGGATCGTGCTGGCGGTAACGCTGGTCACGCACACCGACGGTCACAAATGCGGATCGCCAATCACGAATGAATCGCTCGGTTCCGGCGTTGAAAATGGGCTTGGAGCTCAAGGCTTTGGCGCGCGTGCGGTAGATCTGGAGTTTCTTAGTCAATGGTTTATAGGGGTTTTTCGATGGTCAAAATCATACCAGCTCGTCGTTGAGAATAATCTTGCAATAGCTCGTGGGCAGGTGACTGCCCTCTTCCTCGGTGTTGTCGCCATACGGTTTGGCTGGCTCGTACTCGCGACCCTTGCGGTTGCCCTCGCTACCCTTGACATTGTTGATCTCCAGGTTGACGATCTGATGGACGATAATGCTAATGATACCGCTGGGCCACAACGGATCAGGAGGAGTGTGAGTGATGGCGTCCTCCTCCTCGCTGCTAATGACGCCCTTCTCGTCCTGGAATTCCTGAACATCTCTGAATTGCTCGGGAAGGTCCTTCTTCTTGCCGTCGGTGCGCAGCTCAGCCCTGAGTTTCGGTTTGCCGAAAAAGCCCACTTCCCAGTGCAGCTCTCCCGGCATCTCGCTGCCTTCGTTCAGACCCTGTAGTTTGGAAACCTGCGCATACATCTTGCCTGGATGCTGGATCATCTTCCGAATCGGAAGTTCCACCTTGCCGACAATGTCATCGGCAGTCGTGCGGTCCGAGTCCCAGAGTTCAACGCTCAGACTTTCATCCGCCTTGATAAGCTCAGGAGTAACCAGCAAGGCGGCAGTTTCCTCCCAGACTGGGTTCAGGTCGTCTGTTATCACACGGGTGCAGTACATGGGCTTGCCATACTTCGAGAAAGACAGGTTGATATAAGGGTCGCTGCCACCACCGTAGCTGCCACGCCGATCTTGCTTGCTCAGACCGATTGCGCGGTGGATACGCACCCACATGACACCCAAGGCCTGCGTCTCCTTGACGATATCGTCCCCCTTGAGCAGCATGCTAAGATCCATGGTCATAGACTTGGGGGCTGCGAACAGACCGGCGGCTGTGGCAATGGCATAGTTGACAAAGTTGGAGATCAAGGGCAGGTTGAGAATGTTCACTCCTCCTTTGACCATTGGCATACATCCAGCCTTGACGTGTGGGAGGCCAACCAAGCTGAACGTCACGTCCTTCACAAAGGGAGCCTCTGGCATCATCTGAAATCTTGCACGCACAGTGCCCACCAACTCAGTCAATTCCACAAAGACAGGGAACGGTACTCCAAAGAGGCCTTTGACTCCGAGGTAGAACACAATCTGCATGTGCATGTTGCGCGCCTTGGACGAAGTAGTCTGACCACTTGGCTTGGCATGGTAGGCAAAGGATGCTTCGATATTGTAATAGTCGCCACCTTCCTCTGCGGCGGCAGCTTCCTGGGGGTCTTTATTCTTTACATTCTCCTCGTGCACTTGTTCCTTGAGCTGCTTCACATGATCATCGGGCAGTGCGCGAAGACTCAAAATCCGAATCGGGTTGTTGCCCTGGTCAATCTCTGCGATGCGGACATTCTCGACCACCCCCGGCGCCGACGCTTGCATGATGTCTTCAATGGTGTCGGCGACGGGAGATAGCATTTCGGGATTGATCAAACCCCAGAACACCCCAAGGAACGAGTTCAGCCATTCAACGGATTCCGGAAGAAGGTTGGCGGTCGCCTGGTCCTCTCGAGTTAGTATGTCCGCTTGACACTATACGGATGCGAACGTTCTCGTACCATTTGGCCCCGGATCTGCTCACTGCTCCATTCCATTTCCCGGCCACTGCGAATCACCTCTTGCACCCACAGCCACACACCGCTCGCGATGCAGAAACTGAGGGGAAGTAGACCCCACAGCGATCCATTGAAGATCCGACCCAGGAAGACAATACCCGCCACTATACCCAGACATAGTCCAATTCCTCGTCGTTCCAGCTGATCGAACATCGGCTTATAGGTGACCGTAGGGGTGGGGTGGAACAGAACGTTGGTTTTCTCGCCATGGATAGGAACATCGGAGGTGGTGCCCTCTGCGATGGGATCTGGCGGTGCGGTGATATCCTGATTTTCCTTATATTGTGAAAGGCTCTGGTCTGGGGCGGTTTTGACCTCCTGCACTGGTATCAGTATTTGCATCCTCCGCTGCAATTGGGGCGTAACTCACCGTTGGTTTTCCGAGGTTGGCATTAGGGACTACGAGCTGTAACAGAAGTTAGAGAGACGTTTCCTCACCTTTGCTAACCGTGCAAGGGAGACATACCTTGGGATCTTTCACCGCATCCATTGAGTCTTCATCCAAGTCTTCCACCTCGATTTCCTTGCCCGTGGTAGGATCGGTAACCATGCGCGTCTTTCCGGTGGTCTCCCGGGGCTTGTGAGGCATCTCCTGGTTCTGAGCCTCGCGCTCCCGCTTCCTGGCCGCCAGGGCCTCTTCATGAGCCTTGCGTTCCTGCTTGTCATGCTCCAAACGGTCCATGAAATGGCTGATGGTCGGGACCGGATTGCCCCCGCTCCAGTGTTCTCCCATGCGATGGGTTTTGGGAGATTCCCTCCCGCTGGTAGCCTGGGCCATGGTCGCGTGTCTTGCTTTTGCTCTTTGTGTGCTCTATTGTCTGGAAGCGCGGATCAATCAGGAATTGCGGATGAGATAAGAGGAGGGTAGTTCCAGGCTGTCATCCCCTAGCTTATTCCAGCTAGGACCTGTGGGTGATTGAACCTAGAGTAGAGGAGATATAGAGTCGAAATGCAATGAGGAAGAGAAACCAAGGTAAATTCAACGAAGAGTAGCAATCGACGGTGGTGAAGAGGTGAAGTCACCTTCGTGCTGCACTACGTCATAGTGGAGAGAAGCAGCCAAGGCCGATCAGCCAATCGATGGGCGACGCGTCCGGGCATATGCTGGATATTTTGGGGAAGACCAGCCTTACTGCAGTGCAGTGCCCACCTTCCCGGGGGGGATCCAGATCAGTCTCCATTCACTGTGGTGACTGGTGGTGGTAGTGATTGACAGCTCTCTACTCCGTACCTTGGTTGTTTACCTGGAAGTGTCTCTCTTGCTCCGTCATGGCTCTCGGCGGAAGGCTGGGCTTGGCGCGAGAGCGGACTGCCTCCGGTCGAGTAGTAGAGAACCTTTGAGGAGTGAGTTGATTAGAACTCATGGTACTACGAGATTGAGAGCGCACTGAGGTCTCATGCGCTGCTATACACCGATACTGGTTATAGAATATAGGTACAGACCATCGAGAGACGATAGGAAATCGACAAGGATGCCTCTGCTCGTGCATTATTGGCATTATTGTCCCTTATTGTCCCGGACAGACAACCAGACAACATGATGTCACTTCCCGCTCGCTCTCTCTGTGCTGACATCGGATCAACATCATTTCCACCATCTCTGTCGACCCATTGCATGCACGGATTGGTGGCTTGATATTGCCTGGCATTTGGATCATGGAGTGTGGTGAGTCTAGTGCAAAGATGAGTGCGTCTACATGCGAGTGCCACAGTCAACGGGTGGTTGCATGCTGATTGCCAGTATGAGCGTAGAAAGCGGCTATCATTATGGCAATTCCGGATCATTTAGCACTTGCTCGATCTAAGCCTTACAGATATTGTCATGCCTTGTAGATATTGTTGAGAAGAGCTGGGTCGACGCTGTTGCATATCCGCGCGACCAGTAGGATGGTACTAATATTCCGTGGTCTTCATGTTTTGTCGCTTTTGCCCTTGACAAGCTCTTGGCCATGGTTCCAGATTCTCTGCGGCTTCAAACCCATCCATAGAACATGTCTATGTCAGGTTAATGCTCATCAACGCCTGCAGGCCAGTTCTTCGTATTGTTGGTTGAGACCGAGGAAGGCGGCCGAGTGAGACGGGCTCCACCGCCCGCCAATGAGACTGCCGCTTCTACGGCGCCGACGTGACCTCTCGGCTTCCATCATCATTCAACTTCAACCAACGATTTGGTATACGCCAGTCTCGACTCACTCTTGGGTCTAAATTCCTACCCCAGTGTGCCGGGACTACATACGACTGTATACGAGAACTAAGACAATCTGACACATCCTCACTGAGTCAAACGGACGAACGGCCAAACCGAATAGCAAACGCTCAACGATCCATCACCCACAAAAACAACAACCATCATCACCACCACCACCACACCTCCTATTTGCGGTGTTTCAGCCCGTCTCAAAATGTCCTCTGCAGCCGAGGAGTCCCCGGCTCAGCGAGCTGCTCGCCTGCGCCGTGAGCGTCGCGAAGCCAAGATCAAGGAAGGAGGTGCCGCTCGTCTCGAGAAGATCACCAACTTGAGTGGACGGCCCCCGGCCAGCGGTATGTCGCTGTTTACCACCGCCACGCCCTACCCATGGTTATCAACACACAGGCGAAGGACATAGCTGAGCTGACTCTTCTCAGTCCATGAGGTACCCTCACCATCGCCCAGCCCGCAACCCGAATTCCTATCACAACACACAGCACCGCCGCCACCAGCGCCGGTCTTTCCGACCACAGCCCCAACCCCGGCCCAATCCCAAACCAACCCTCCCACCTTCCCCGACCACTCCCAGGCGGAACCCGAACTCGACCCCGAGACCCTCCAAGCTCAACAAGAACTCTTCCGTGCTCTGCTCCGCCAACCGGCGCCCTCGCCCAAGCCACAACAGCAACTCCGCGGTCCCGGCGGCGCTGCCGCCCCCAACCCAGCCGGCGACCTGCTCGGCCTCGACGCGCAAGACCCGACGCTTAAGCTGCTCAACTCCCTCATGGCCTCCAGCTCCGGCGGCGGCGGCAGCGGCAACCCGCTCGAGAACATCAACCTGGCGGACCTCGGCCTCGGCGACGGCAAGGAGTCGTCCACCGACCTGCTCACCAACCTGGGCCTGCCGCCGTTCCTGGCCAACCTGATCGGCAACGCCATGCGCAAGAAGACGGACGCGGAGAAGCGCGAGATCATGGTCTGGAAGGTGGTTCATCTGGTCTTCGCCGCCGTCGCGGGGTTCTACCTGCTCTTCGTGCTGGGGTCGGCCGTGAGCGTGTACGGGCGGGCGCCGCCGGCGCCGGCGACGGCCCGGGATCCGTTCACGGTGTTCATGACGGGGGAGGTGGTGTTGACTGGGGCGCGGGCGCTGTTGCGGTCGCGGGAGCAGGGGGGCGGGGTCGGGTTGGGGATGGGGGTGCAGCTGGTGCGGGATGTGATGCGGGACGGGAGCTTGGTGGTGTTTTTATTTGGGCTGGCTTCGTGGTGGTATGGAGAGAGATTGGTCTGAATTGCTTGTTTGTGGCAGAAGACGTTCTGGGCTATAGGCTAGAATGACTAGAATTGTGGATTGTCTGTATACACGTGTGTGATCCCTTTAATGGACAGTGAGTATCGTGCACCCTGGTCGTATCGAAGCCATAAGCCATAAGCCATATGAGAGCACTGCTACTGCCACAGACCGGTCTTGCGAGTGGCTACTCCCCCAACCACGCTGTCCACCACTGCCTACTGACCGATAAGTTAGTGTAGCCCATGTCTCCGACACTAGCTGCTTAGTGCTCATACCAGGCTCACTGTACATATATGAAGGGAGTAATACAATTACATCTCCAGGACCCGAACCTCCAACGGTCCACCACCCAAAACCAAGTAATCTAATCTAAACTTCGGTCCCCCACCCCCCCCTTTCCCGCAGGCAAATCCAACGCAGAACTTATTGATCCTGCACCGACCCCCATCAAATCAATCCTTAGACCTGACCACGTGCATCTCCCCTTACTGCAATTTGCATGCAGGCTAGAGCATGCGCATTCCACTCTGAATCTTAGAAACTCCCAGACTAGTACAGTACACCCGCCCCAGGAGTCCTGGGCAGTGGACAGTGGACAATGGATGGTAGGTGCCTAGGCTCTCAACAGCGGCAGGAGATACTCGTAAGACAATCAAACTACCTAGTAAAGCCCTAGACTACCTAGACTACTGTAGCCAACACACACACACAAACCCACTCCTCCCGCCCCGCCCATGGGGATATCCAGCCAGCTCCGTCAATTGGAACTGGAACACACATTGGCTACGCGCCTCCGAGCACACACACCCTAACAACCTCCAAACCCGCCCTCAGGCCTTGAACCAGATCCGCCCGCCCACCAACCGAAAGCAACCCGGCCGGTGGCCAGTGGGGAGCCCGAGCCTCGAGCGCAGTGCCTTTCACGCTTCGGCTGTGGCCACCGGACTAGACAACCTACACAGCCGGTCGCGGATTCGCGAGGAGGGGGCGTATCAAGATGATCGTAAGGTCAAGACATGCTCCGTACTTAGTCTGGTACTGACTTTCATAGTACTATGGTGAGCGGAAGCGGATGGTAACTGAAGTTACATAGGAGAAGCGGAACTTGGCTGAGCTACGGAGTAGTCTAGCACGCACAGACATAGATCGTGACTTGGCCGAAGCAGGCAGGTCCTTTCTCGGGACGGTCGTCGGCCGTCAACGGGCCTTTCGTTGAGGGAGATTCTGACGTGGCGTGGCATGGTTTGGGGGTTCCTGTCAGATTGGCTTGTCTCCTTTCATCAAAATTGTGGAGTCCGGGCTGGGGACTGAGGAGGTGGCGATCATTTCGGTTGTTGATTAGACCAAGTAACTTACGCAGTGGTTGGGGAGTTAGTGGTTTCCGGTGGAGGATTTAGCCATGCATACCTGCTGCTCCACTGCACATACTGAAGCAAGCACTAAGTTACAGTTGATAAGCAGTAGGAATGTGATCTACAGCTAAGAGCGTGGTCAGGAAAAAAGAAGTATACGGTACTGTACGAAGTCGACCTTTTTCGAGAACCACACCCCAACTGCTGCGTGGTCTAGTTACTGGTAGTCCATCGGGCCAGAGGGGAGACGCTGTCAAGCTTGCCTCCAACCATTTGCCCACCTCATTGATCTAGGGCTGTCAAAAATGTAAGGTATGGGTGGAACTGCTCTGGTGCAGGAAGTAAGTTAACACTCAACGTTGCCGTAAATGCCAACTTCAATGCCATTGCCATTGCTTATCCAAATCAAACCGGTGCTGCCGCTTTAAATGTGAGCGAAAGTGTGGAGAGAGAATCTTATTCCTGGCGCCTGGAGCACACGGATCCGTGCCCAGGGCACACGCACCTGGAAAACTCCGGTCGCTCCCGAAGGGCCCGGCCGGGTGTTTAAACCGTGCGCAGCTAGTTAAACCCAAGCTCTTCTAGATACAACATAAACCCGGCCATGGAATGTAAGGCGTGAGTTAACAAGGAGGGCCTTGAGTATGATCTCAGTTCCGACTGCAAAATGTATTCAGGGCTCTGGCAATTCTCTAGCTGCGATTCAATTAACGAACTGATCGACTAGTCGTGATTGAGATGGTTATAGATTTGTCGTTCCCTTGGCGAGTTATGAGTATCGAATTTGTGATATAGTAGACTACCTCCCCCTCCCAACCGCTCACCACTCACTATGTTCGCATGATCTGAATATAAATCCCGAATTGGTGGCTTACAATAGAGCAATCGGTGATTCAAAAAGTAGAAGCCTACGCCAAGCCTGTCAGGAAAGTATCATAGTATAGAAGCAGAGCTTCGGGCTGCAGCATTGTCCTGCACATGTAAACCCCGCTGGAAGTTTAAGTGAGCTAAGTTAGAATCCCAGTATAGACTGAATTCATCTGACTATCTAGCTCTAAGCAGCAAAAGAGCAAAGAGGTCGTCCAAAGGCGCTACAGCAAAAACAGGAGTCCGATCTGACGAAACCCATCGCTCCTAAGCCTCATCACGGTATATCGAAGCACCGAAAAGTCAATCTCCATAAATCGGCAACTACAAATAATCCCTCGTCCGCTCCTCACACCACTCCCAGAACTCCCTCGCCCGCCCGGAGCCCCCCTCCTCCTCCGCTGCCAGATGCCGGGCCAAGCCCGGCGCCACCCCCGGATGGATGCGGCCCCAGGGGATCACATACGCGCCGTTGTTCTCGGGGCGGTCGAGCTCCTCGGCGAGCGCTGCGTACAGCACCGTGGTCGCCGCCAGCGCCGGCTTGTGCAGCAGCGGCCACGAGAGCAGCTTCATCCACCGCGCGTTGCGGAGCAGGTTCGTGTTGGCGGCCCCGGGGTTCTGGGCGACGCTGACCAGCGGCGAGGAGCCCGACGCTGACGCCGACGCCGAGCCGCTCCCGTAGCGACGCGCGAACTCCACGCTGAGGAACCAATTGCCCAGTTTGGAGGTCGCGTAGTTCCGGACGGCATCGCGCGGCGGGTGCTGCAGCTCCGAGAGCACGATGCCTTCCGGGGGCGCGGAGAGTTCGGCGACTTGGCTGCTGGTCCAGACGACGCGGGGGGCGATTGGTTTCGAGGGGGAGTCGGAGCTTGCAGCAGCAGCAGCAGCCTTAAGGTGCGGAAGGAGGAGCTGGGTGAAGAGAAACGGGCCCAGGCAGTTGGTCGCGAGTTGGAGCTCGATCCCTTGGGCTGAAACGCTGCCCAGCGGCGGCTGCGAGACCCCGGCGTTGTTGATCAACAGGTCCAGTCGGGTTTCTCGGGCGGCAAAGGTTTCGACGGCGGATTTGATGGTGGTCAGATCGTCGAGATGGAGCGAGAGGTAGTGCAATCGGCCTTTCGTCGTAGTTGTAGCCGTAGCTTGGATTTGGTCGATGGCGGCCTGGGCTTGGGATTCCGATCGGCCCGCTATGTAAACCGTGGCTCCTTTGCTGTATAGCATGTTCACGAGTTCCAACCCAATCCCTGAGGAACCACCGGTCACGATGATGATTTTTCCTTGCTGCGAGGGCACGTCGGCCAGGGTGAAGGTCGGGCGTGGGGGGAAGAATTGCGAGAATTGGGCCCCCATCTTGTTTTCTTGTTTTGATGAGATATGATATGGGTTTCTTTGATGCGATTAGTGAATAAAATAAAGAAAGAGATGGCCAGGACAGTAATGCAGTGTGTAAAAAGGAGAGTGTGTTAAAGTAGATAGTTTGGTTCAGCGACGGGGGAGCGACTAGGGTTTATGTACTATTGACTTCCTCCCTCCCCCAGTAAACTACTAGTAGTACATACCCTTACTAGTACGGAAATTAGCGGAGATTACCTGAGTACCATATGATTCTTTGTTCGCTCAAGCTTTCACCTCCCCCTCCCCTTTCCGACATCCAATATTAACATTCCACATCACAATTTGATAACATTCACTCGGATATATGACTATCCCCATCCCCAATTTGATCTATACCTGGTACCGCGGACAGTAGATACTCCAGACCAAATTCCCCACGTGACTGTGACGCACCGCCTCCAGGTATGCCAGCGTGTCGCGCGACAGATGCAACTGGCGGCGCGCCGCCCCGACGATCCCATCAAACTCGGCGATGTAGCGCCGGATCTCGGCCTCACACACCGCCAGGGCGGCCGCCTCGGACCGGCGATTCCCATGGGCGTCGCCCTCCTGCATGATGACCCACACGGCGTTGAAGACATAATCCACGCCCGCCAGCTCGGCGTCCGCCCGCTCCTTCTTCCACGAAAAGAGATCGTTGGTCAGGCTGATCGCCGCGTATCCCGGCCGGGCCAGCTTCATGCAGACCTCCAGCTCCTCGTCCGGGATCGTTAGCCCCATCCCGAAGGTCAACGTGCCGAACCAGATCCTGCATGTTTTTATCCCCGGTGTTAGTTGCATACATACGTGCACACACACAGAGAGAGAGAAAGAGATGAAGGGGTGGTCTGCTCAACTTACAGCTCCCCTGCATCGATAATCCGCATGGGTAAGTACTCGGCCAGCGTTTGGGCGGGACGGACGCGACTGCGCGACGCCAGCTGGAGGAAGGTCGACCACGCCTTCATGGAGGTGACGGCCCGCGGCTTGTCGATGGTGAGCATCTCCTGGAAGACTTGCGCCTGCAGCGCGTTCGCTCGCGAGGCTGTTGTTTCTGTGGTTGTGGTGGAGGAGGAGGAGGATGCTGTTGCGGAGGATGGGGATGGCTGCTCTCTTTGGTCGACACCAAATGAATCGACCATCTCATTCGATCGGGTAGGATCCTGATGGGAGCCGTGCGTTCTTTAGTCTCTTTTGCCTCTCTGCTCTGCACTGCTTGGGGGAGCCGGTGGACATACGCGGTCATGGTCGATCAGCTTCTCCATTTCATCTAATCACGACTGCTATCAGTATGCGAATCGTGTAAAAGCGAGACGGGGGCAGGGATGCGGGAGGGAGCTTACCATCGTAGAGGAAAGCGAACTCATTCGCATAGGAGATGACCTCGAGACGCTCCGGCAGACACTCGGGGACGGTCACCTGCATGAAGCTGTACCGGGGGCCCAGTCCGCCGTGGTAGCGGTCAATGGGCCCGACGAGCCGGTTCCAGTCGGCCTGAGCCCGCAGCGCGCCTTTGGTCTCTCGGTACCCATCCCGGTGCACGCGCAAGGGGATCCCGTTCGCCAACCCACGGTCGTCGTAGGCATTGGGCTCCTCTAAGTATGAAAACTGATACTTCATCCTGGACGGGGACACAAAGAAACCAAAAAAAGGAGTTTGTAGGGCTTGCTGTGTGAGAGATAGGCTGAGGGGCAGTCCCGGCTTCTATATCTATACTATAAGAGGGGAGAAATTGGTCAATGTGAATGGCAAATGATAGACAGAGACATACACTCACAGAGAGAGGACCTTCGCTTGGCCGGAATAAGGAAGAATACCCCTCAATTGCCGTTTTATGTCCTCCATCTTCTCATCAGATGCCCAGCAGCAGCAGTATGAGCCTCATCCCCCCTCCTTTCCCCTGGGGGCCGGATACCTTGTTCGATCAGACAAAAGTCCACGGGTACTGTAGGATAGTCCAAACATCTCCTTCAGTCACGATGTCAGGCCATAGTCACGGCAGTTGATATCCGTAATGACAGTACACGGCCACCAACACCTGGGCAAGCTATCAGTATCTTTCAAACCAGGAAAACCGGGCTGGATTGCGTGTTAGTTGCTCTATAGAAGGCTTACAGCGGGTGAGGACGAGAGGACGCCTTGTGCAAAACGTACAGTACCGTACAGTACATACTGTCCAGTACCACATCTGTTACATCCGTACTGTATAGTACATAACTTCGAAAAAAACTACAAGTACTGTATGTACTTATAGTAGAGTAGAGCCGCCACAGCCACCCAAGCGTTATGCAGTAAGCGAAGCAAAAGTCGGTCCCGTCCTTCCCGGAGATCGATAGGGTAGGTAAGTGAGGTGCTGTACTACTGGCATGTTACAAGCTTAACTACGGACAACAGCACTGCCGCATGCATGAATCTCAATATCCCGTCCGTAGTCCGACTTTGTCCCGCAGTCCAGGACGGGAAGGAAGTTCGACCGTGTGCAGTATGCAGTAAAGACATGAAAAGTAAGCACTAGACAGGACTGACCACCTAAGCAGTTCCGTTTATTCAGTAGATGGATGGATAAGGTAAGCACTAGAGATGACCATAGTGGAGACGAAGTACTAAGTAACTTAGCCAGCGCGTTCATTGTTGTTGTTTGTTCCACTTGTTCCAAGTCATATCTTATCCGTCCCGTCCCGTGAACTGTGCACCACTGCAGTGCCGCGCTAAGCAACAGCAACAGCAACAGCAACAGCAACAGCACCAATGCCAACAGAACTTCGGCCCCCAATCACCGGCAGGATTTTGTCTCGCTTAGCTGGTGGCTTGACTGTGGATTGGTCGATATTCACAAAAATGTCTTTCTTTTTGGCCCCCAATGTAGCTCTGGACCATAGGATCTGTCATTAATGATCCCTGCTTTTGCTGGCCCTGCACTTTGGACTTATTGATCAACTGCCTGTTTAGTAGTTACCGGTATGTATATGGCCCCATTTATCGCGATAAGGCAACCCCCTCCCCCTCCCCCTCCCCCGGAGGATTTTAGGGAAGAGAATTCTAATCATCCTGCTGCACTAAGCAACATACTTTGGACCTGCTGTACTGTACATCTCCCGATAAGTTACATTCTATACCTCGATTCTTGCCATGTATTTCGTTCATCTGCAAGTATGGCATTTGCCATTGCCCCACTACGGTACTATTGCCGCAGCAAGGCTCACTGTTACTATAGCCGCATGCACTATTAATCACGTACCCAGGGGGTTGGGGGGGGGCAAAGGGACTACTGCCTTACCCCGCTTTTTCCATCAATTTGGTTGGTCTTTAGGAACATTCTTCAAAAACATGTTAGCTAAGTGACATCTGGACTACTCGATCCGGTTACAGTGTGTCTTTCATCAAGGGTGGGCTGTGTTTTCCGGGTATTAGTGGTCCCCGCTGGAGTTACTATAATAGTCTAGATCCTTCAGTGATCCTTTGAACTTGTATGCAGACTTGTGCAGTAACCCCATCCTTTGCAGCGCTTAAAACTAATAAACAAACACAACTAGTGACAGTGACCCATCCCCGAGGATATTTCAATTGCCCTGTGCATTGATGCACTGCATTAAATGGGGGCTGCGGTCTGAAGGGTACTCTAGCTTCCATTTGCCGGGTTACCCGGATTGAACTGTAGTATATTGCGAATTTTCGGACTCGATGATGATGGTTAGAATACAGAATCAGCGCGAACATAGCGAGAAATCCAAAGGAGACAGAAAATAAGAACAGAAAAGAAAACAGCAGCAAAGAAAAAAAAAATGACGAACATCCAACGCAATCAACGAATCAAAGCCCTCACGCCTTTAGTCGTGACCTTGGGGAGCGGGATCATGAAATCGTGGGCCTGGATCACATCCGTCTCATCGGTCTCGTACAGCTCCAACTTGGGGCCGTTCGGCCGGTACAAAACGGCCAGGATGAGAGACATCTCGGCCATTGCCAAGCTTCTGATGTATTAGCTTCGAGCCTCTTATTGGGATGCCAGGGGAGGGGAAATAAACGTACTTTTGACCGAGGCAGTTGCGCGATCCGCGGCAAAATGGCACATACTGTTGTATCATGGCCGGGGTGACATTCTCGACCCAGCGCTCGGGACGGAAGGTCTTGGGCTCTGGGTAGACGGCGGGGTCGGAGTGCATGAAGTAGGCGGACATCCCTACGGGAGTCTGAGACATGGTAGGGTGCTTCTGTTAGCAGTGCAGAGAAGAATGGAATTTGATCGAGACCAGAACGTACCCCAATGGGAATTGTGTAGTCCTTGTACTGGATGGGCAGGTCGGGCGAGATGCGCGGTAACCGGTGCATGACGCCGTAACTGAGGCGCAGGGACTCCTTGATGATGGCCTGCAGGTACGGGAGACGCTCCAGCTCCGCCCAGCTGGGGACCCGGTCGGGCCACTCCGCCATCGGCTCGCGCAGCTCGTCCTGCAGCCGCGCCTTGATGGCCGGGTTGGAGAGGATGTAGTAGGAGGCGAAGCCGATGGTGCGCGCCGTGCTGGCCGTCCCGCCGCCCAGCAGCACCTGCGCCTCCTTGGCCAACCGCTCGGGCGACCGTTCGGAGTCCGGCATATCGCTGTCCGCGACGTGGTGGAAGAGCGAGGCGCTGCTGTATCCTTGCTGTTTCAGAGACTCTTTGTTGCTGAGGATCCGCTCGATGTTGCGGAGCGCGACCTGCATCGGCGAACATGTCAATTTATATCGAAGCAGGGCAGAGGCAATTGGCGCAGGACTTACGGCTTTGAACGTGTTGAAAACTTGACCCTGTGGGAAGGCCTTGAGCAGGAAACTCTCTGGGATAAAGCTCACGAGCCTGCCATGCATCGCTAGGTCAGCGGCAGACACTCTTCCGCAAATAAAGCTTCGCTAGACACTTACTGCACAATCCACGGAAAGCCGGTAAACAGCGGGATCGACCGCACGAGGTTGTGAATGAGATTATACCTGCATCCAATTCGGATCAGTCACCGAAAATCACACGTTCGGAAGAGCGGCTCTACCAGTCCGGTGCAAACAAGGGATCATCCAGGAACTCGTTGCCAGCATCCTCGCGGTCCAAGCAGATACGCCCAATGATGTCGCCCGAGAAGGCGGAAAACGCATGATCCAGTCGGATCACCGTGTGCGTGCCCTCGTATTCGCGCAGGCGTGCCTCGAGCTTGAGGGCGACTTCCGCCAGCATATCCTGCAGCCGGGTGATCCCCATACGAGAGAAGAAAGGCTCGAGGGGCTTTCTGCGCTTGCGGTGCAGGTTGTGGTCCACAGTCAAAAGATGCGAGCCTAGAATTTATCAGACTCGGCCTGGAAGGGAACCGCATTTGAAAATACAGAAAGGCATGCATACCGTCGAAGTCAATGCCTTTGCAGAACACGTCGTAGTGGCTCGTGCGGCGCTTGCTCTCAGTGACATAGATCTCATTGTAGAACTCGGGATCATGAATAGACAGTTCGTCGGGGTTGATGCGCACAATGGGTCCTGGACAGGAAGAGTTCTCTCAGCACAAAATTCTCTTTTTGCCGCGGAGTGCTGCATCCGAGGGGACCCCGCAAACACTGCACATACCATAGACTTGATGCAACCGCTCGATCTCAAAGATATATTTGCCTTGTTTCCAATAATCAAAGTAGAACTCATACCAGCCGCTGATGGCGGCAAGTTTGGGCCCGGGAAACCTGGCCAGTGGAGAGAAGTACAGTCTGTAGATCGCGATGTATCCCCAGTACGTGAGGACCAGAGCGGCCGCAGCGGCCAGGGTCACTGGTGTACTCGCGATGATTGCCATTGAGTCAATAGAAAGATGAACTTGAACACTTAGAGCAGCGAGCCACATGGAATGTCTCGGTCACGATTGCTATATAAGAGGGCTTCCCGCAGCCATGCGGCTCTCGGGCATCGCTGGTGCGAAAAGCACCATCATCCTCATTGCATACGCAGAGTGGGTCGTGCAGGAAGCAAGACCCGTTGAGTCTCATCTAACGAACCAGGCAACAGGCAATGATTCTGTCCCCAATCATTAGCGGGATCACTTGGCTATCGTTTGTGGTGGCTCGAAGGAAGCGGCGGAGGGAATGGGAAGGATTGAGTCAGTGCTTAGGGATGGATGCCAGGCACAGTAAGCACTAAAGAAATGGGTGAGTATAGTACCTAGGGTACCTACAGTACCATTGTACATTACGTTACATTACAGTGCAATACAGTACAGTGTATAGTAGAGACCGAGTTTTGCGAGTGGGTATTACAGAAGGTCAAGAAAGCTTGTGATGTGGCTGTTTAAACCAATTTACCAACACTAGCTGCTAGGTAGATGTTACTTTACGGTACATTCGCAATCAGCCCTAACTGGGGGCGAAGGCGGATATGAACCTTCAAGAGCCTTGAACCCGTTATGAAGTACTAGACTAAGCACAGTACCTCAACTGGTACCTAGTACTCCGTAGTTACTATAACAAACGGTAACCACTAAGATAGAACTCAATTACCAACTAATTGGTAGTCTAACTACCTGCTTAGCTGCTAGGTAAATATATCGAACCTGAGCTCCACCTTCCCCCCCCCCCCCCCCCCCCCCCCCCCCCCCCCCCCCCCCCCCCCCCCCCCCCCCCCCCCCCCCCCCCCCCCCCCCCCCCCCTCCCGCTCCCCTCCTGCCCCCAGCCCCACTGAATCATCATCAGGGGCCAGCCAGTCGCACTCGCACCTCTAAGGGTCGCTTTTCCACCAACAAGAACGTGCGTAGCTCCTCCCATTGCAGTTGCTTCCCCTCCACGGCCTCGAAATCAAAAGCTAGGAGGAGTTTGGCAAGAATTAGTCGCATTTCCGCCCAGGCCAGGTGCTGTCCCAAGCAGTTTCGTGGCCCCATACTGAACGGCTGCACGGCCCGGCGGTCATCATGGTAAAAAGGTGAGTCCGGATTGGACGAGGCATCTGCAAGCCAGCGCTCGGGGCAGAAGGAGGTAGCGGCATGAAAGCGGGATGGATCACGGTTCAGGGTGTAAGCTTGGAGAGAGACCGAAGTCTGGATGTGATCTGGTTTTAGCCCCCCCGCGCTTGTATGTAATGCGAGTTTGCGAAAGAAATAGAATGCGACTTACACCCTCGGGTAACCAGGTACCACACACCGAGTCTCCACCGGATGGCACTTGACGGGGCAACATCCACGGCACGGGCGGACAAAGCCGGAGCCCCTCTTCAATGACCGCGGTGAGATATGGGAGCTCCGTAGCCGCTGCCAGGCTGATCTCCATGCTAGACTGGAAATTCCCTCGAATTTCGCTGACCAGGCGCCCCATGATCTTCGGATTGTTCACCAAATAGGCTAGAATCCCCGTCAGCACGGTCGCAGTAGTCTCACTGCCGGTAGTCGTCAGGATCATGAAGGTCGCGTTGAGCTCCCCGCGCGGGAAAACCACTTGGCCGCTGTCTTTGTCGATGAGGTGAGACATAATATCCGGTCGCTGAAGCTCCCAACTGAGCCGCCGATCGACCTTGTCCACAATCTGCTGGTAATGGCGTTGGCCCTTCTCCGCCAGGGATTTGGGGATACATTTCATCAGGAGCCACTCCAGCAGTGGGTAATACCGTGCCGCTGCAACAACGGAGGCAGCCTTGACACTGTTGAACAGCAGCGCAATCCAGGGATGATACTCGGAGTCTTGTAGGCAGTTAAAGGACTCGCCAAAGCCCAGGTCACCAAAGATATCAAACGTAGTGAAATTAAACCAGGGAGCTATGTCAATCTGGGCACCGGCCTTACCACCATCAGCAGCTTCCACCTGTTCTCGGATCCGTGCAACAAGAAGCGAGACGAACTTCTGCAGCACCTCCTCTTGGGTCCGGAGGGCACGCTGGGTGAAAGCTGGCGCTAACAGCCTTCGCATTGCTGCATGCTTGTCTGGGCTGATCGCACTCAAGAGGGAATCAGGCTGACCAGGCTGTCTGCGCCACCAGACCGGATCCTTGAGAAACTGTCGATCAGGTGGCCGGCTGGCATAGATAGCGGTCCAGCCCTCACCACTGGCAATGCTGACCTCGTCGGGCGCGGTCCGCACAATGGGGCCGTACTTACGATGCAGTTTCTCAAAGTCATGGACAATCGTGCCTCGGAGCAATCCCCAAATGAATGGCAGACGGGTGGCTGCCCAGCTGGTTGGTCCCGGAACATGTTTCAATGGGCTGAAGAAAATGTTGTAAAGGACACGGCTAATCGGATACTGGTATATGGTGGAAAGTCTTGGTTAATGAGGGCCCACCAAAGACAAAAACCAGAAGCGGGGAGGAGGGGGCATGAATGCATACAACCAACAGCAGGGAAATCACTATCTTCAAGAAACTACCAGTCATGATGGGCCGAAATAAATTCTTGGTAGCTTAGTGAGTGGTGGGAGGAGAATTGGGGAATCATCTACTTAGGCAGAAGACGGACAGACAAACTAAATACCAGTACGGGCAGCACGAGCAGTGGGCAGGCAGGAGAGGAGGACTGCGGCACGGAACGATCCTCGCTAAGTTGCCCAGTGGTGATTCAACCCTGGCCACTGAGTTGTACAATACAGTACAGTACCATACATATCTCCAGTGCTCAAGTAATAACGGGTCAAGCAACAGGCGACAATCATGCGCACCGCACTCTACAGGGTACTGTACCTTTGCATTCACTTGCAGTCTCACCTGCAGTCTCACTTGCATACTGCCCATCACTATCTCCCAATCAGCACTTCATGGCCCCCAACCTTGAACTTGGAAGACGACTAACACTCCCTCTTTGGTTTGCTTGCACCATTCGAGTATTTCCCCTCCCCCTCCCACTCCAGCCCCCAAGGGCCAAATCTTCCCCCATCTTGTAGATACCGAGTAGCGACTTAGAAACCTTACCAGCATGGTCTGCCTTGCTGATCTTTTCAAGCTGTGCATCGACAATATATAACCTTGATCAACAAGAAACCCTCGTCTCAGTCCCCTTGTATCTCTTACCCCCCTCCCCTAAGACACACTTGCATCATGGCTACTCAGTGGATTGGTGTATTACAGCCTCCAGATGGAGAAGAGTCCAACCTTATCGATCCTGTAAACCAGCTGGGCAACAACATCGCGCTCCACACGGTATGCCTGACGCTGGCCACCGCTGGCGTTGCGATCCGAATCTATACTCGAGTTGGGATTCTCAAGTCGAAGCTTGGGCTGGATGACTGTAAGTCACCGAACGATGGCTCTCTCTGAGCTGATACTGACTCACAATTGGCAGACTTTGTGATCTTGTCTTGGGTATGTACCGTAGCCTCCTCCAGTGAGGTTCCCTTGAGGATGCAATAGCTGAATGCTGGTTAGTGTTTAACAGTGGCTTTCTCTGGCCTGATGTTTGAATGTATGAGGAGCTCTTGACGTGACTGAAAACTGCAAAGCCTTATTAACACATTGATAGCCTATCACTGGGGCATTGGACGACACATGTGGGATGAGCCTGTGACATGGCTGGTGCCAGCTCTCAAGGTATGAAGGGAGTTTTCTGGGCCGCACAGTATGAGTCCAGCGATAGTCTAACCCAAGCTCAACTGCGCAGTACTTCACGATCGCTCAATATGTGTACCTTCTTCTGACCCCAGCGGTGAAACTGAGCTTCCTCTTCTTCTACTATCGGATCTTCGCTCCCGATCGAACAATGCGATACCTTATCCTCGGCGGTATCGCCTTCGTGTCCATCAGCCACGTGACGGTCTTTTTCCTTACTATTTTCTCCTGCACTCCCGTTTCGCACGCCTGGAACGAGTTCGGTGAGGGGAAGTGTTGGAACCCGACAATTCTGCCGTATCTTTCAGGCGCCCTCAGTTCGACGACCGATCTCTATGTCCTCTTGTTGCCCATCCGATCGTGTCTGGGATTGAACATGACTTTGCGACGGCGACTACGACTGCTGGCAGTCTTCAGCATTGGTATCTTGTGCGTGCATAACGTGATAATTGCGACTTCGTGCTACCCGGTTGAGCTGCGAGCTGACTCTTAGTGATTCTCTCAACCACAGTGCATGCGTGACGAGTTTAATTCGACTGGGTCAGACGCATATTCTGACTGACAGTACGGATGCAACCTGGAATATTTCCCATATCGCTGTGTGGGCGTGAGTTTTCCCGACTCCGTTGCAAAACAAGTCTTTGGTTAGGGCTCCTGAGCTGACCATGGGCGACTTGCCCAATGCTTCCAGCGTCCTCGAGTGCAATGTGGGGATCTTCTGCTCCTGCATGCTTCTCCTCCCGCGATTCGTCGAGCGGTACTTCCCCAAGGGTGTAACCTCGTATTTCTCACGTCTCTGGAGCAGCAACGGGGGAAGCAAAAAGGAACGCAGTGTCAGCAACGGACCTTGGAAGGATGGGTCCTGGCAGTCCCCGAAGCCGTGGGAGAAGTCTGCCAGCAAGCCCGCCGCCATTGAGCTGGGTTCAACGGAAAGCTTGAACAGGCAGTCCCTGACAGTCTAGACAGATCAGGGGGCTTCATAGCTTCGTAGTGGGTGTTGCTGTTCAGTCGGTGGAGGGGTTGAGCGCGGGGTCTGTCTTTCCCGTCCCGTGTCCTGTATATAGTGTATGTACATAAATTTTGACGTATGTTTTTGCACAATTTACTTCGTATCAGACTACATCTGCGTGAGATGCCGATGACGAACGTTCATGTAGGCGGAAAAGCTTACTGGGTACTCATTACAGTGCATACTATGATGTCGTCCTCGTCAAGTCCTACTGCCGAAATGGATACACTAAGATAGTGGCTAGTAGTGGGTCGGTCTGACTTGGGGGCGCTTTTTCGCCCTCTCTGCCGCTGTCCTGCCCAAGAAGAATCTTACAGTCTCACGATCTGATGATCGTACAAACTTACAACTTGACAAATTTGAAAATTCACAATTTACCAATCTTACAGCTTTACAATCTGACAGCCTTTGCAAATGCAAGATACACCGCAGCCCCAAAGTACCGCCCAGGTCTCATCCGTCCAACTAAGCCTCAATCCCGACATCCGTGCATCTGCCACTCATGTGCCCAAGTCAATGCTTGTGCTGTACGTGCAGGCGCCGGGGCGGAAAATAAAAAAAGAAAAGAAATAAATGACACGACAAAACAAGCAGAGAATTGATCATGATAGCTTGCATACACCTGGCATAGGGGCTAGGCAGCTCGGGCTCCGATCTACCCGGCATCACAAGTAAACACCAGTAAAGTTGGTAAGAATATCTGATATCTAGTATATAGTTAGTATGTGCAGACCTATTGTAGTACTAGGTCCAGTGCTAACAATCCTGCCACTTCCCAGGCCCCTCCTCTAGACAGCCCCTCCCCGACTTCATTCACTCTCACTGCCCCTTGCCCTTCTGAGCAATACCAATCTGACAAGGTCTGACAAGGCGAGAGGCTCAAAAACGGCTTCTTAGCTATATAACCCCGCCTCGACTTTGCATACCTTTTCAGCCTCCTAACTAAAGCAGTGTACTGCGGTGGGAGATCTTCTTCCAATTCTTTTCGTTCAACACACAGACTCCTAAGGATGTCCCCGGTACTCGACAGAGATATGACAGAGGTCATGTCGACTCCCAAGGAGGCGCGTTCGATGGTGAGGGAGCTAATGGATACAAACCTTCCCTCCGCTACGACAACGGTATTTATGCCATTTATCTCCCTGCCATGATCAGCACCTCATCCGCTAGAGCTTAGGAAGAGAGAACAAGGGGAGAAGAAAAGGGTTGACACAACTATCCCTCTAGCCAGCTATAGCTCCATTTCAATATTTATCATCCCTACCCTCCAAGGGCGTTCGACATACAATCGTTGAAGCGTTGAGAACGTGGATCGACATCCCGGATGACTTTCTCCCCGATCTGCTGTCCATTGTGGGCGATATACACAACATCTCATTGATGTGCGCGGCAGGCTCCCTTCATTCTCCCAGCTACTTTGCACCGGTCTGCAGCCACTAATCGCGTTTGTCAGGCTCGATGATGTCGAAGATGGATCGCCATTACGACGGTCCAAGCCCGCCGCGCACTCCGTGTTTGGCGTCGGACAGACGGTCAACTCGGCTACGTTTCAGCTGGTGGAGGTGATCGGTCGCGTCGCGCAGGTGGCTGGACCACTTGCCCAGACTATCGTATTGGGTATGTGGCTTTTTAGGACGGCCATGGGCCTCTTTTTCCCGCGCATCAACCGATGGATGTGCCGATTCTGATCGATTTTCTGTAGAGGAACTGAAGAACATGCTCGTCGCGCAGAGCCTGGATCTGCATTGGGTCCAACACGCGACACCACCGAGTTCGCAGGAGTATCTACAGATGATTGACGGTAGTACGTTTGTCCCACTGCGACCCTGAATGCGCATACATCCCCAATCTCCCTCCTTGAGAATCACTCACGGACTTCATACTCATGTGTCTGAACAACAAAAACAGAAACGGGCGCCCTCTTCCGCCTCATCGCCCGCCTAATGATCGCCCAACAATCCCCCTCCAGCACCACCAACCCTCCCTCTCTCGACCGCCTGATGATCCTATTCGGACGATTCTTCCAGATCCGCGATGACTATGCGAACCTTGCAATGGACCAGGTATTTCCCTAAAGCACAAACCCCTCCAGCCCCGACGCTCCATGCCTCCCCACCTGGCCGATCACCAACCACTAACCCCAAACCACCAAAACAGTACCAAGACAGCAAAGGCTTCTGCGAGGACCTCGACGAAGGCAAATGGAGCTTCATCCTCCTGCACGCGCTGGCGCACGCCACGCCGCCCACGCGGATGGTGCTGATGAACGTGCTGATGCAGCGCCACGCGACGGGCTGCGCCGGCCGCGGCCACAAGGAGCTCGTGCTCAACATCTTCCGGCACGAGACGCGCTCGCTCGCCTTCACGACTGAGGCCCTCTGGGTGCTGGGCCAGCAGATCGAGCTCGAGATCCAGGCCCTCGAGCGCGCCACCCTCACCGCCAACCCCGTGCTCCGGGAGATGGTGCGCAGCTTGCAGGTGGGGTTGACGCCTCCCGATGGGTATGGCTTTGAGGAGGTGGGTGGCGGCGGCGGCGGCGGCGCGGTTGGGCGCGGGGCGAGGATATCTGAGGGGGTGTTGGGGTTGTCGTGTTAGGGGGTGGATGCGAATAGGCTTTGGGTGGAAGCCGAAGCTGAAATATCTCTAGAAATCTTGGTCGGGATTCGGGGGCTTGTGGATGAGGGCGGTGTTTAGGGCCTGCTTATGTCTTTCAGTTTTGTATCTGAGACATGGGTATGTACGGCTTTTGGGAAGATGGTTTGATGTTATTTGGAGCAGCCTCGCAATTGCGTGAGTTAACTTCCATCCTCAGCTTACGATGTAGCACGGTTAACTCTTATTGCTTCGAGGCGTGTGTAATTTGCTGTAGATTAGAGTACTCTTCCCGTACAGAGGTGTTTATGCCAGTGGAGAAACAATAACGTCTAACACAACAGTCAGATCTGTGCCGGCAGTCTTTCGTGATATGGAAAGGCGGCCAGCTAAAAGCGCAGCGCAGCGCAGCGCAGCGCAGGGAGTACCGACAGTAATATTATCAATCAGTAAGTGTGTGAGTGTGTGAGTGTGTAGATGTCTGTATATACACGGGGCGTCTACCACATCAGCCGGCTGCATGCAACATACTTGTTCGTTGTGTCAAACATGGTAGTGGACAACACAACGTGACCCGCTGAGACTACTGAGCCTTGAGGCTCTCACACTACACTGCCGAAGCCTTTCTCTCAAATCTTCACATAAAGGGGGGCCTATGCTCGAGGGCGTTTTTGTAGGGGCGCATGAAGTTCGATTCAGTCTGCGAGACCTTCTGTGTGGACAAACTACCTACCTACGCAGTACTGAAAGCTGTGTGTGGGTGGGGTTGAACTCGATATTGCACTATGACAATAGCACCGGACATCCAGGCATTTTCTTTGTCCAGATTATGTTTGATATTACCTTTATCTGGGATGTTGACTTGTGGCTTGTGACCGTTCTGCAATGTGCCATATGGAAATTATGTAGGTGTGTTTTTCTGTAGATTGGTCTAACCGGGCGCATCGGATATCTACTGCTGATAATCTGGTTTATGGTATTTGAAGACTTTTTTTTGTTTTTCTTCTACGCCCTATGGACGGACTGTCTCTTTTCTTCGTGGTGAATAGACGATCATGGACATGCTACGCGTAGACCAGTGCCAAGGCGCCTGGCGCAATGATAATATGGTCGATGTCGCGAAGTTAGGGTAGAGTAGCTATCGAATATTCTTCAGAACTTAAGCCACGAGTGCTTGAGAACAAGTTGAGACTCATATCATCGAGTGCCTTGAGATATGATCATGTTCACTTTCGGGCTTGACAAGATAACCAAATCCAGTAGGGCTGGATGTTTTGGGATAGTTGTGCACAGTTTAGTTGGGTTGCGGTAACATGATTAGTATATGCTAGCTCAGGTCACCGTTGCTTCCGGAGCAATTCGGGACTTCCGGGGGATTCGCCCAGGACACGCACTGTTGTGCTCTCTCCACGCCCCGGGGCCGCGCAGTGGGCCAAAAGCGGCGTCAATTCGGGCCTACTGTCGTAGAACAGAAACGGAAAGTGAATTCCATCACCACTACTGCACTGATCACTGATGGATACCGCAGAGATCCAATTCGGTATTGCCTCCTATTGATGGGAGGAGCAGATCCCTGGAAATACCAAGACCGGTATCAGCTTTCATGGTTTCCTGAGACTCAGAATGATTTCTTGTCATTAGAATCACTGCCCTTAACTCTGGTGACACTTTTGGTTTAATCATATATCAGGTGAGTTTGGCACGATTCTTAATCTGAAATGATTATTTCTCGCCTGTGCTCCCAGAACACGCATCTCAGCAGCCGGGCTCACTCCATGATCAGGGAATGTTCAAGTCACTTAGCGGCGGCGGCGGCACCTCAGGCCGAATCCGGAAAGAGAAGCCATCCACCACTCACTACTTACTGCAGTGGCATCTCCCCACTGACCACCCGGAGTGGTTCCGCCAAGATTTTATATGCGATGGTCGAGATGAATTCGCTCTGGTTTGTGCTTGGTGCTGCTGATCATGGGGGTACCGTTCTCGATTCTGATTGCGTTTTTAGCCGTGCTGGCTAGTGACTGGCACTGTGACACCCGCGGGACCCTCAGTGGATGGGGAAAGAGACGACATTTCGGACGACGGACAGAGAGAGTAGCATAAAATGTGGGTAGCGGCCGTCGGAGCTGCGCCAAATGGCTTATGCTCAAATCCGCAACCGGTTGCGAAACACCGGATCGAAGTCGTAATGTTGATGGGAGGATTCGACTGGAGATTTCGAGGTCAACTGTCAATTCTGAGGAAGCAGTAAAGGAAAAAGAAAAGGAATCAGAACAAAGCTATGGAATGGGGAATGGTCCGGGTTCAATAGTGGCCGGTTATGAGCTGTGGGTTGAACGCGTTCACGGAAAGAAAGAGTGAGTGAGTGAGTGAGTGACCGACCGACCGACCGACCGACCGACCATCCCCAGAGTCGCATAGCTTCCCATCTCGCGCCGCCGTTCCTGAAAATCACCCCTCCCACGGTCAACCAGAGTTGCCGTCAGTCATCCCAATAAACGTTGCCAGTATAGAAGAGAATCAGCGCCCCCCTCCACCGGTTATTCGGTTCAGAGATCTCCTGTTCTCCGCCCGAAAGTACTGCGACAGAGCCAGGGCCACGGAGACAAGGAGAGAGCCCCATAAAATAGCCGAACCGAAAGGCAATGGCCGCGATCGACCCGAGACTCCTACGAGTATTGTATCATGTATGGCAGATAACGTTACCAATTGGCCTGGATGGCTGATCGACAAGGGCAATCTGGGCACCTGAAGGTCATTGTTCTGATAACGCCTACCTAGGTAATCATCGAGCACTGTCCAAGGGAACCACAGAGCCCTACCCTGCCTCGGCAAGTGGACAAGCAGTCGTTCGTATAGTTCTTCCCCCCGCAGGAGGGAAGTCCTTGGTGTGACATGATATCCAGATTATGCTTGAGATCGGTCAGCCTCAAACGCACGTGTTTGGGTCATCGCCCTACATCCTCCCGCTCAAATCATCAACCTTTTCATGAATCACGGACAACAATTACCTAGTCTAGGTGGTGGTAACCGCCTGGTGCTCGGATTATCCGGGGCGGTAACATTTCCTAGTTAGTCTTTTGTTCTGTCTTCTGTCTGTCTTATGATACCCCAGGCCGTCTCTCTGTCCGCAAACAGATACATCTCGGAAGATGCCACTAAAGCATTCCAGGTGGGCGCAGCGCTCCCCCAACAATCGAAGAGATTACTTTCACGTCCGGTAAGGTTTTTGAGTTTGATCCCCCGCACGGCACAAGCGAGCTCTGTTAGTCATTTACGGAGTACCCTCCAATCGAGGCCGGGGTGGCGGTTCTTGTGATGTTGCCTCCCCGCGCTCTTTCCGCTGACGGGCTGTCTTGGATTCCTGGGCTGCTCAAATGAGTGCTGGGGTCACTCATTCCCTTCGTGTTCGGGGGGAACTTTGAACTACTTAGTTATAATGAAGCCGGAGGGAATGGGACCCTGGAAAAAAAGCGAGTACCCAGCTTCATCGCCATTGGACCATTGTCATACCACCCGCGTGGTTTGAAGTCGACTACAGCAAGGAAAGGAGCTAGTGGGAAGGAATAAATTGAGATGGAAGCGTCGCAATCGACTAGTCCATGCATCCCTAAGCACTGAAATGCGACTTTGAGTCCTGACAGACAGTCAGATCGTCGCTTGCCTTTCCCCGGAGGAACGGAAACCAAAGGCTGTCAAGCCCCGCATGGCCGAGCCCAACCTTTTTGCGGCGGCGTGACCAGACTAACCAGGTTGTTTCCTAGTGTCCCTAGTGTCCAAAATAAGTCAGACAGACCTAAGGAGATTTCATTTTCTCGGTTTAATTAGAACAATGATTGAGGTTGGGGTTCGATTGGAGAGGGAAGGAGGGAGGGGGGGGGCAGCATGGGTGGGAAAAGACTGTGCCTGCTAAGGGCTTGCTTATCAAGGAGGGGCCCGCATTGGTTTGTTGTTAGAGGATGTTATTAGGGTATCAAGTGTCGGGCCTCGTCCACTATACTAGGTACCTAGTAGTTTTAGTACTGTACTTCTCCAGTCAACAAGGAAAGGGGAAGAAACAGGATAACTCCATTGGGACAAGGTCAATGGCATCACCAGCTGCAGCTGTACCGTTGTCGGGTAGGAGGAAGACAGCCCCAGCTCTCGGATCTTGCTCAGAGCTCAGATTTTCGGGGTCAGCACCACCACCACTGAACTGACCCATGGATTGGTTTGACTTTACGGGGAACGGATGGAGGGAGGAAGGGAGGGAAGGAAGGAAGGAAAGAGGGAAAGAGGTGGGAGGAGGGAAAGGAGGAAAACCGAGCAATTACACCGGAGTGACAGTACGGTAACTCTGTTCTTGTCGGTCTGCCACTGTCTGTCTGTCTGTCTGTCTGTCTGTCTGTCTGTCTGTCTGTCTGTCTGTCTCTCTGTCTCTCTTAGTCTACTCTCCCCACTGTGGGCGCGACACCGGGGGAGCGGGACTGACTGACTCTCTCAACAATAATAATAATAATAATGATAAAATATTACTACCTTTACCACTTAGACTACCACCACCATCAAAAAAGACTCCATCGGACATTCTTAAATATCGGTGCCCCAATCCCTCCCACCCCCGGTCCCTGAAAACAATTATCTTTCTTCTTTCTCTTCTCTCCCCTTCTTAACTTCATAATCTCCATCTTTCCCTTCCCTCCTCTCCTCTCTTCTCCGGTGTAATCTCCCCAACTCAACGCAACCTCCCCCCTCGCCCCCCCACCATCAACCAACCAGTGCTGGTGCATATCAGTAAGTCGCCCGCGCAATCTCCGTCTCACGTGCTAGCCCCGATCCTCTTCATTGCGCCGGAGACTGAACTGACTCTGTTCGTTTTCACCCCTCCATAGAGCCCAGCTTCCCTCGACTCCAAATTCCCAATTGAAATTCCGTTGGGACACTCATAACCAATCATAAAACATGGCGGACGGCAGCATCACGCCTCCCAAGCCTGCCGTGGTAAGAGAAAAAAATTCCCCACGCCCACGCCTTGGGCCGAGAAATCTCCGGGTCTCCATCTGCTAATTATTCTGCCATTGGGTCTACAGGTGCTTGAGGCCCACGATGTTGATACTTTCCACGTTCCCCAAGCTTTCCACGAGAAGCACCCCTCCGGTCCCCACTTGAAAGATCTCGACGAATACAAGAAGCTCTACGACGAGTCGATTCGCAGCCCCAACACTTTCTGGGCTCGCATGGCCCGCGAGCTCCTCACCTTTGAGAGAGATTTCCAGACCGTCCACACCGGTTCTCTAGAGAATGGTGACAGTGCTTGGTTTGTCGAGGGTCGCCTCAATGCTTCCTTCAACTGCGTCGATCGCCATGCCATCAAGAACCCCAACAAGGTCGCCATTATTTACGAGGCCGACGAGCCCAGTGAGGGCCGTACGATCACCTACGGCGAATTGTTGCGCGAAGTATCCCGAGTTGCTTGGGTCTTGAAGCAGCAGGGCGTTAAGAAGGGTGACACCGTCGCCATTTACCTGCCCATGATTCCCGAGGCTCTCATTGCTTTCCTCGCCTGTGCCCGTATCGGTGCTGTCCACTCCGTCGTCTTCGCCGGTTTCTCCTCCGACTCTCTGCGGGACCGTGTTCTTGACGCCGGTTCCAAGGTCGTCATCACGACTGATGAGGGTAAGCGTGGCGGCAAGGTCATTGGTACCAAGCGCATCGTCGATGAGGCACTGAAGCAGTGCCCCGATGTGACGGGCGTTCTCGTCTACAAGCGCACCGGCGCAGAGGTTCCCTGGACCAAGGGTCGTGATGTCTGGTGGCACGAGGAGGTCGAGAAATACCCCAACTACTTTGCTCCCCAGTCCATGAGCTCTGAGGATCCTCTTTTCTTGCTCTACACTTCCGGCTCCACTGGCAAGCCCAAGGGTGTCATGCACACCACTGCTGGCTACCTGCTTGGAGCGGCCATGACGGGCAAGTACGTCTTTGACATTCACGATGACGATCGTTACTTCTGCGGTGGTGATGTCGGTTGGATCACCGGCCACACCTATGTTGTGTATGCTCCTCTCCTGCTGGGTTGCTCGACGGTGGTCTTCGAGAGCACCCCCGCCTACCCGAACTTCTCCCGCTACTGGGATGTCATCGAGAAGCACAAGGTCACGCAATTCTACGTGGCCCCCACCGCCTTGCGCCTATTGAAGCGTGCTGGCGACGAGCACATTCACCACAAGATGGCCCATCTGCGCATTTTGGGATCGGTCGGTGAGCCCATCGCCGCCGAAGTCTGGAAGTGGTACTTCGAGGTTGTCGGCAAGGAGGAAGCCCATATCTGTGATGTATGTACGAGTCGATTGAAGGCGCAATGGTTCTTTTGGCTAATCTGTGGCATTGTGACAGACTTACTGGCAAACCGAAACCGGCTCGAACGTGATCACACCTTTGGGTGGCATTACGCCGACCAAGCCGGGTAGCGCATCGCTTCCCTTCTTCGGTATCGAGCCCGCTATCATCGACCCTGTTTCCGGAGAGGAGATTTCGGGCAACGATGTCGAGGGAGTGCTTGCCTTCAAGCAGCCCTGGCCCAGCATGGCCCGGACCGTGTGGGGTGCCCACAAGCGCTACATGGATACCTACCTGAATGTCTACAAGGGCTACTACGTGAGTACCTCCAGTCATCGATCTCCATGTGTGTCGCTTAACAGTGTGGCTAACTTGTGGTTCTTTAGTTCACCGGAGACGGTGCTGGCCGCGACCACGACGGATACTATTGGATCCGGGGTCGTGTGGATGATGTTGTCAATGTTTCTGGACACCGTCTGTCCACTGCTGAAATTGAGGCTGCTTTGCTCGAGCACCGTAAGTGATTCAATCCCCATTCCGAGGACGGGTTCCTAACATCTGCATAGACATGGTGGCTGAAGCTGCCGTTGTTGGCATTGCCGACGAGCTGACCGGTCAGGCTGTCAATGCCTTCGTGGCTTTGAAGGAGGGTAACGAGACCACCGACCAGGTTCGGAAGGACTTGATCATGCAAGTTCGCCGCTCTATCGGGCCGTTCGCTGCCCCTAAGGCCGTGTATGTGGTTGAAGATCTTCCCAAGACTCGCAGTGGCAAGATCATGCGTCGCATTCTGCGCAAGATCCTGAGCGGCGAGGAGGACAGCCTTGGTGACACCTCCACCGTAAGTTTCATCTCCCTCGGATCATTCTTCAACTAGCGCTAACGCAAAAGCAGCTCTCCGACCCCTCGGTGGTTGATAAGATCATTGCCACGGTGCACGCTTCCCGCGGCAAATAAGTGTTTTGTCTTCAGTGAATGATATTAATGAAAGCGAGAGTTGGGGGGACATGTGACACTGCCATCAGCACAGGTGTGGTCTGGATTTATGCTCCTGAGCTTTATGATGTCTGAAGGCGGAGTTTGATTCTTTTTTCTTGTTATCTTGTGATTCCCATCATGATCAGAACTGCAGCATTCTGATGAGCTGTCAATCTTCTCTACGTATATACCAATGATGAAAGAAGTTTTTCTCGGGCCTGGTGGGTGTATACTCAGAGTGTTGTTGTATTGTGGAGTGTTGTAGTACCTGGGTAGTGCAGTCGAATGCGAAACTACCCACTTATCTGTTTGTCACTTCATAGAATATACAATGAAGAGCTCTACTCTTTTGGCCTGGTGTCGGTTCATAAGCCGGCATACTTGGGTTCTCTCCTTATAGCAGGAAAAACGCAGCACCTGGCCGTATATTATGCTATCATTTTCAGAACGGATCAGTTTGCTTGTAACTTGAATTTGACGGCAAGAGTCACCTCGTAAATATATACACTGTATCTTGTACACCGATGCGTCATTCAGAGTGACACTACACCCTGAAATTCTCAAAAAGACAGCTTTATCAGCCCTGAATCAAAGTAGCCTCACATACCTCGTGTTTAAATAACGCCCAGCACCATCTGGGGAGGGCACAACTGATTGCAGAGAATAATCCTCAGGCAGAAATTGCTCAGTTTCGCGGGTGGTTTCAGGCCGCGAGATTTCACGTGAGCAGCTGGTACCGGGGTGTATTTACAGCCAAAGTTACCGGATGATTCTGCCTGAAAATCCCCGAATTGCCCGCGGATCAGTCTGTACCGGAAACGTAAGCGAGCAAGTCACCGCCTGACCGTCGCCGCCTCGTCCCTTTTGCAGCAACCTCTTTCCCTTCCGTCCCTTCGAACTTCCTCTCCGTCGCGCGCCCTCCTCCTCTTTCGACCAGCTCTCTGGCTTCTTCTCATCGTCGCCTCTCCAGTTCAAGGACGCTGAACTGCATCTCCGCTCTTGACGGTGACGCCCCGTCTCTAGCTGGCGAGACATTTTTACCCTGCTGTCCTTCCCACCCACAAAACACCTCTCCTCTTGGGCGCGTCGAGATCTCGGCTTCTCAATCCACAACCTTCGAGCTCGTCGCTTCGCACCCTTCGCACCGCGCCGTGATCGAACCCATCTCGCACGTAATACCGCCTTTTTCGGGACATAGCTCGCATCAAAACGTTGACGTGGACGAGCATTCGGCCTTTCAGTTGGAAAACGTTTCGGAACGGATGAACTCATAAGTCGCAATCACTCAACCTGCAAGATGTTCGGAGGAGGATTCGGACAGAACACTCAGCAGAGCTCCGGCTTTGGATCCGGCAATGCATTTGGTGGAGGCACAAATACTGGTGGAGGTAGGTTTTGATTTGTTAACGAGCTTCGTACCTGCTTCTTTCCCTTTCGTATTCCTGCTTCCGCCCTGGTGTTTTCTTGGTTTTTCTCAACACTGGCTCGGTACCCCCCAATCGACCCAGTAAAGGAATCCAATCTGGCTCGTGCTTTGGACGTCAACCCACAGCAGCTTCACCTCAGACTCATCGACATCTCGCCGCCGTGTCGAGACCTTCTACTTTCCTTTCCGACGTCAGGTAGCACGGCAGCACTGCAAGAGAAGGGATCGCGGCTTCAGTACAGTCTCTGACAGCATCTCCCACGTCATCTAGGCTTTGGATCTTCACCGTCTCCTGCTTTTGGAGGTGGTAACACATCAGGCGGTGGCCTGTTTGGAAACACTTCCAGTAGCTTCGGTTCCGCTGGAGGTACGTGCTCGACGACTATATTTCCATGGGCTTGGCGATCCTTTCTCTTCCATCTGTACCTTGGGGCGGACCCCGCGATTCCCGACATATCAACGGTCGGGTTGGACTGCAAACACTGCCGCTCTGAAACCGTGGACGACTGGGCTTGTCTCTCGCGGCCCGGAATTCTCCCTCGAACAGGAAAATTCGAGTCCCATCCGCCTTCTGCCTTCCAAGGACATATGGAAATTAAAATTCGTCACATGCTCTAAGGATCTTCGGCTGTAGGCTGTTCGATAGCGTCGCTAACACTACTCCTGCTTTTCTAGGTTTCGGCGCCAATACACAGACACAGTCAAACTCCTTGTTCGGTGCGGGGCAGAATCGCACTAGCGGCTTTGGCAGCACTCCGGGACCCAGTACCGGCGGCAGTTTGTTTGGGTCAAACAACACAGCGACCTCAACAGGTAATACCGGCTTTGGCGGCTTTGGCTCCGCTGTGAACACCGGCGGTGGCTTTGGCAGCAGTGCTGGAGGTGGTGGACTGTTCGGTGCCAACAAACCCGCCAGCGGTTTTGGGAGCACCACTGGTACTACCGGCTTCGGAGCCAGCGGTGGCGCCAGCGCCAGCGGGTTTGGAAGCGGAACAGCACCGGCTTTTGGTGGTGGTAGCGGTACCGCGTTCAACCAAGCTGTTCCTCCCTCCGAAGGCACCGGCTCCACCCCGTTCACTCCCTTTACCGAAAAGGACGCCGCCAGCACCACTACCAATCACTACCAGAGTATCGTGTTCATGCAGCCTTACAGCAAGTATTCGTTCGAAGAGCTTCGGTTAGGCGATTACAACGGAGGCCGTCGGTTCGGCAACGGAAGTGGACAAGCAGGCGCCTTTGGTGCTTCCGCCTTCGGCAGCTCTGGTTTCGGTGGTCAATCCACTGGATTTGGAGCTGGAAACACTTCTTCACCATTCGGCGCAAACACAAGTGCCCCGTCGGCTTTCGGCAGTCAGACCCAAACCACAGGCGGCTTTGGCACTAGTAATACCTCCAATCCGTTGTTCGGAGCTCAGAAGCCTGCCAACACTTTATTCGGCGGTGGAACGCCAGCTGCTGCTACCACTACTACCCAGTCGGGCCTGTTCGGCAGTAACACGGCAACCTCGGGTGGCTTTGGAAACACTACCGGGAGCACTGGATTCGGCTCCGGGGGGCTGTTCGGCAACAGCGCCAACAACACCCAGCAACAGAACAAATCTCTCTTTGGCGGAGGTAGTACCTCCACCGGCGGGGGCGCATTCGGCGGCTTCGGCACACAAAACACGAGCACAGCCTCTCCATTTGGCGGCACCGCAGCTACATCTTCTCCGTTTGGAGGTCAACAGCAGCAGTCGGGCGGGGGTTTGTTTGGTAGTGGTACCGGCTTTGGCCAGCAAAACCAGGCTCAGAATCAGGCACAGACCCCGAACAAAGGGCTATTTGGTGGATTTGGCGCTAACACCCAGCAGCAGCAGACGAGCACCCCGAGTCTTTTTGGCGGCAGCAACACCGGCACCGGCACCGGCACCGGCACCACCGGCACCTCCCTCTTCGGTCAAAATCAGCAGACCCAACAACCTGCGAGCGGCGGTTTGTTCGGAGGCAACAACGCCCAACAACCAGCCCAATCGAACTCTCTTTTCGGCGGATCGCAGCAGCAAGGCCAGAAGAGTTTGTTTGGAGGGGCTACGACGGGCACGGGCACGGGCACGGGTACGAGTGCATTCGGAGGATTCGGCAACACCCAGAACCAGCAGACTGGTGGTGGCTCGAGCCTCTTCGGCGGTGGTGCGGCCCAGCAACAGCAGAAGCCGAGTCTCTTCGGTGGAGCTGGGGCCTCGGGCGGCAGTCTCTTTGGAGGCGGCGCGAGTACTACCACACCGGCTGCAACTGGATCCCTCTTTGGCGGCGGCGCGAGCCAGAACCAACAACCGACTACCCTGGGAGCCTCCAGCCTCTTTGGTGGCAGCCAATCTCAGCCCGCACAGCAGCTGGGCCAACAACCCGCCCCCGGTAGTCTGCAGGCCTCCCTGCTGGAAGGAAATCCCTACGGCAACCAGTCTATCTTCTCTGGTCTGCCAGCACCCAGCGCTGCAAGTCCCGGCCCCTTAGCCACGCCGCTGTCGTCCTCCAACAAGCAGAAGCAACGCACTCCTCTTCCCGTTTACAAGATCACCCCCACCGCCGCAAATCGCCTCCTGACTCCTCCCAAACGTGGCTACGGTTTCTCGTACTCCACATACGGATCTCCATCGAGCACTGCGAACACTCCAGGCGGACTTGGTGGTAGTGTCCTCGGAGGCAGCATGCGCAGCAGCTTCAATGCTAGCAGCTTGGGCCGCACCAGCTTCAGCAAGAGTCTTTCGACCAGTAACCTACGAAAGACATTCGATCCTGAAGCCGATAGTGTTCTTTCCCCCGGTGCCCTCTCTTCCGGTAGCTCTCGTCTGTCTAGTGGAAGCCTGAAGCGTCTGACTATCGACCGAAGCCTAAGGAATGACTTGTTCACGCGCTCGACCAGTACTCCTCCTCCTGCAGCCATCACTAACGGCGAAGAGGCTGCCACTCCTGTGGACAAGGGAAAGAAGAAGGTCAGCTTTGAATCGTCCTCCGAGCTTGCACACACTGGCGGGGAGATTGTGCCCGTCGAAACCCAAAGTCCCGAGCCCACCCCCGAGGAGCTGGGATTCCTGCGTTCCGTCCGCAAGAGTGGCACAATCAACGGCGTCAACGGCACCAAGACCCCGGAGACCACTGCTCGTCCTGAGATGGAGTCCGTCCGTAACAACGATCTGCCCGCTGCCTCGGAGCCTGCGCAACCGACCGCGACAAACGCCGCCCCAAAGCAGCTCTCTTTCATTCCCGGCGGGGATCCGCAGCCCGGAGAGTACTTCATGAAGCCTACTCGCGCCGAGCTTAGCAAGATGAGCCGCGAGCAACTGAAGAAGGTGGTAGGTTTCACCGTGGGACGTGAGCATTGCGGTCAGGTGACTTTCGATGAGCCCGTGGATCTGACTACCATCGATCTGGACAATGTCTGTGGGGGACTTGTCGACATCGGAGTGCGGAAGATCACCGTCTACCCTGACGAGACCATCAAACCACCCCGGGGCAAGGGCTTGAACGTCCCGTCTATCCTTCGTATCGAAAACTCCTGGCCCCGTGGCCGCGACAAGAAGTCGCCCTCTCCCCTGACAAGTGGCCCGTTGTTCGACAAGCACGTCGATCGGTTGGTCAAGGTGCACAACACCGAGTTCATCGACTACGAAGTGGAAAACGGCACGTGGGTTTTCAAGGTTCCTCATTTCACCACCTATGGTCTTGATTATGATAGTGATGAGGAAGAAGAAGGTGAGAGCCTAAACCAAAGCACTTTGAGTGCTGCTCCTGACACTCCGACTCCGAAGGCCCAAACCCCTGCCAATCACGACAACACCGTGGGCTCGGAGCATCTGTCAGCCTTCTCCACTGACGATTCCTTCCTCGGTTCCGTGGCCGGCGTCGATGACGACACTTTCGATTTCAAAAAGCGTAAGATAGTCCCCGGAGCATTTGGCCACCAGGCGATGGAGACGATGGACGACGAGCAGCAGTTGGGCTCGGAAGAGGAGGAAGAAGATTCTTTTTTAGAGGACGGCTCCACGGGTTCAACTATTGAGCAAGACAGCGAGGACATCACTGAAAGTCTGGAGTCTGTCGAGTCTGAAGTTGAATTGGATGAGAGTGAGGAAATGGACATGGCGGGCACATTTCCGGACCTTCGTCATACCGTGGAGCGCGACGATACCGCGAGCACCGACACATACATGGAAGACCCTCGGCTGTCGCTGAAGCCTTGGAATACTCCGGCGAAGCCCCGTCTGGATCTGACGGGCGATTGGGCTGAACAGTTGCAGCGAACCATTAGTCCTCGGAAGCAGAACCGGGATGCCCTACGTGAGATCCAGGCGAATGCCTTCAACGAACGCTCTTTGCATGAGGAGACTCAAAAGCAGCCTACCAGCGAAACCAAGCAGAAGGGTTTCGCAACCAGTATTGATTTAATGAATTCCCTATTCCAGCAACCTCGGAGACAACAGACTGCATCGCCTGTGAAAGTACCAGACGCACGACCCAAAGGTCCTGAGGTATGACCGCCCTTCTATTCCTTTCTTACTGGATTGTCTTCTGCCCTTGTTGCCGTGACGCACACTCGTCACTGCAATATCGCACTGTTGGTGCCTGGAGCAACGCTTCTGACTTCTATCTCCATAGTGGCCCTACCATAAACAGCCCAAGACTTATGCCGGCGAGTCCAATGAGTTGAGCGCTGACGACCTTGCCTTTCACTACTCCTTCAAACCACGCTGGGGACCTTCAAACGCATTGCTTTGCGTACGGAACAACGCCGACTCTGTCGAGGCTGGTTTGAGTTACTGGGAACATAGTCTCACCGTGACCAGCGAAGGACGGGACGTTTCCATACTAAAGTATAGAAAGCCCAACGAGCCGGTAGCGATGCTGGACGCCCAGCGCGAAATCACGATCATTAAGCCCGTGGATGGAGTAGTGCCCTTTGCTCGCCTGGCTCATGCCGACTTCCATAGGTTGGCCGCCACAGCCGCAGGCAGTACGCTGGTGACCGACCAAGAGCGGTTGCTCTGGCAGCTGGCCAACATTCTGTTCAACGACGAGCTTGAAGACGATATCTCTGTCGGCGTGCCCAAGGAGATCCGGTCCCAGTTCTCTCACCGTATTAAGAAAGACCGCCTTACCCGTCTACTGGAAGGAATTATTCGGCAAAAGCAGGCCCAGAAGCTGGGTAAGGTGGGCTCACCAGAGGAACGCGCTATCAATCTCCTGTGCGCCCATCGGGTTGACGAGGCGTGCAATGTCCTGCTCTCGAGCCAAAATTTTCACCTCGCCACTCTTGTTTCGCAGATTGGTCGGGATGCCACCGTGCGGGAAGATATGGCCAATCAAATTGACATGTGGCGTCAGAGCAATGCGTACTCGGAGATGAGTGAGCCTGTGCGCGCTCTGTATGAACTGCTGGCGGGCAATGCCCTACGCAGTGAGGGCAAGACTACTGGGGCGCTCGAGGATCGGATTTCTGCATTCACGTTCTCCGAGCGATTCGACCTGGACTGGATCCAGGCTTTTGGCCTGCGCCTGTGGTACGGAATCGGTGACGATGAGCCGCTGGAGAATGCCGTCTGCAAATTCGTCGAAGATCTACGTAGTGGTGTTGAAACCGCACTGCCACTACCGAATCCTTCCCAATTCTACCAATCCACCACTGCGCAGGATCGTGAGTCTCCGATGTGGGTGCTGTTGAAGGCCTATGCCGCTACTACCGAGGCAGCCCAGAACACGCAGTTGGACGGCTTGGAGTTTCCAGCCGCCCTGCTGCCCGAATCGTTGACGGGTGACCGGCTGACCAATCGCCTGTCCTTCCAATTGTGCCATTTCCTCGCCGCGGCCGTTGGGCGCAATGGCCAACTCCAGCTGAATGTGGCTCAGATGGACCAGCTCACCTGGGACTATGCATGGGAACTCTTCAACTCTGGTGCCCTTGCAAGGAGCATATTCGTCTTCTCTCACCTCTCTCGCGCCTCCGATCGGGAACGAGCCATCAAGGACATTCTGGCTCGAAATGCGCTGTCGCTTCCACACCCGGTCAAAGAGGACGGATCGCCGAACAAGATGTGGAAGTACCTCGTCACCGACTCGCAGATTCCCGAGAATTGGATCTGGGTGGCGAAGGCACTATATGCGCGCGACACGGGTAATGCTGCACACGAGGTGGATTATCTGGTGAGGGCCAAGAACTGGAATGATGCGCATGCCACCTTCTGTCGCATTGTCGGACCGTCGGCAGTGATTGAAGGGGACTATGCCACACTGGAAACACTGATCTCGGGCTTTGGTGCCGAACCGGAGCGCAAGGTGCGCGGCTGGGCTCAAGGGGGCGGGATTTACGAGGATTTTCTGCATCTGGCAACGGCGAGAGTGGGCAGGCGAGACCCGGCGCGACTGCATCGGCTGGTGCAGGCATTGGTCCAGCTGGGCGATCAGATTCGGCAGGGCTCTGGCGTGGAAGGCTTGGAGGAGCGAGTTGCGTTCCGGGAGATGAGCCGAGCTGTGGCACGCTGGACGGCACACGAAGACAGCCAGGTAAGAGCAGTTGAAAATTGGGTGATAGAAACAAGACTAATCATAGTTTAGGCAAACGATTTGTCGAGTGTGCTCAATCTGCCGCTGACGGGCGATGCGCGCCTCACGCAGACGGCGGAAATGAGTCGACGGTACTACGGGGTTATTATGGCTGGAGGGTATTAATTGGATGATGGCTGAAGGCACGAATGGCAAAACTCTCCAGTGGTTGGGGCAGTCATTGGATCTGATACTGTGTTGTCTGGTCGTTCTTGGATGGCCTGTGAATGGGCGTCTTTTACTTTTTCTCTTCTTGCACACCCTCTTGCTTCTCTCCTGTCCCTCCCTCCCTTGTTCTCTTTCTCCCCCCCTGTCTTACTCCTATTTGTATCGAAGGGTCGACATCGATGTGCGGCTCTATGTATCCTAGCTGATTTGCACCTGTCCTTCGACTGCATGTATTTGTGTGTGTTTTCTTTTTTCTTTCTGCAGTGATTACTTTTCATCTTGGGTTTCCACATTTGTCTCGAGGGAGATGTGCCTCTAAGCCATAGTCAAGCCGCAGCGAATGATTATCTCGATGGAAGGATATTTGATCAACTTTTTGGGGATGGCAAGATTTGAAGTATTTGAAGTACAGCTGCAGTAGTTTGCAAGGTCATCTTTCTCAGTCGCAGTATACGTTGAGGATGATGCAGCACATAAGACAAAACATCACCTCGCATCAGCGCTACGCAGAGCACAATAGACCATTTGCGCCAGAGGGTGTACAGTACTATCAGCCCTAGTCCAGAGACCCTCGACTGTCCTACTATAGTAACTACTCCTTCCCACGGAGCCCCGTCACATCCCCCTCTTACCTTCCTCTATGATTTCACTAATCAATGAACTACCCCAAAGATAAAAAGCGCCGCCTCTGCACGACCACCACCCGCGGAATCGACAGCGCGGACCCCCTTCCGGTCCGCCTCGCCCACCCAACGCCCCAAAACTTCCCCACGGCCGCCTCCATCCACCTAACTTTCCCCCTGGCTCGCCCCACCGCGCCGCGGACTTTTTGTTCGTCAAAACAGATCACTGATCGCTAAAACGCCCGCCCCAACCCCGGCGGGCTCATCGAACGGGTCCTCCAGCCGCACATCCCACAAACCCGGCCTCCGTGAGGAGCGCGACGCCCGGTAAGTTACCGCCTGCTGGTACCACCCAGTCGTGGCGGACCCCCGACGTAGCTTGTCTCGCCGAGGGATTTGGTTGTTGTTGGTGCTGGTGCTGGTGCTGCAGTATCAGTGGCAATCGCTGCAGTAGCAGTAGCAGCAGTAGCAGTAGCAGGAGCAGCAGTAGCAGTGGCAGTAGCAGCAGGACTATCAGCAGTGGTGGTAGTGGTGGTAGTGACAGCCCCCCCCCCCCCCCCCCCCCCCCCCCCTCTTAACGCACATATTCACGCAGTCCAACTCATCGATCAGCCAGAGGGGCGGTGCTTCATGATATGTCGGCTATGTGTGCGTGCTGAGCAGCATGGTCGTCGCCGGCTTTTGCGGCGTGATGGCAATGCGCGGATGGAGTGTCGAAGCCAACAACACTTGCCCTTGCCGCCTAGAGGAAATGCTGCAGGCTCAGGTGGATCACGGGTAGGTGAGACTTGTTGGAGGGCGTAGGCCGGTCCGGAGATTAGGCGGACAGTGGCTGTGGTTTGGGGGGGGGGGAATTAGGGGGTTGTGCTGGTCGAGGATGATGATGGCCCGGAAGCGCTGTCAAAATGTCGGTTGGGTCAGTTTGCTGGACTCGCTTGATAAATGTATTGGAGGAGAGTAAGATGACTACCTGCCGTATTTTAGTTGGGTTTATAGTATAGCGCTAAGCATCATCAAGCTTCAGCCAACCAACGGGTTACATCGCGTGGACAAACTAACTTACCCTTCTCTCTCTCGCTTGTACTGTAACTGTCACCATCTCGATCAGTGGCAGAGACTGCGAGGAGTGGCTTGTCCCTCGGAGATAAAACGGAGGCCGGCGTGCTGTAACCCGCTCTTTGTGGACTACTTAATATGCTGCTTTGTTGGGAACATTCCCAGTTTGAGAAATACAGATGAGATTAAGAAGAATATTTATAACAGGTATCTATTTCATCAAGAATAATCAAACAGCCAATTAAGACCATTCAAAAACAAAGAATTCTATCCATAAACGAGCCACACCATCATTCCAAATGGAACCGCAACTCCGACTCCAGCTGCTCGCCTACCATCATTTCGCGGGCGATTGCAACCGTGGCCTCGAACGACCCCTCTCCCACGTACCAATCGTACCGCCAGGTATGCCGGGCCTTATCTCCGGATATGTCGCAGGCGATTAAGCAGCCACAGAAATAATGTATGTATTGTGTGACCGCTGTGCGTGCCTCTTGCTCATTGAAGGCCCGTCTGGCGGACCTTGGGAATGACCTTGCGCTCTCATGCAGAAGTCTCAACAAAAGGACCTTGTCAACCCCCTCGATGTCGATCTCGAGATCCCGGTCGACCATTCTGACGGTGGGGAGCTGGAGCTTACCTAGATGCGGACTGGGCTGTGTCTGTTTTCTGGAAATGGGTACGGAAAGGTTTTCGTGAGAGGTGTAGTCACGACTGGCTTGCGCGCTGCTGGCTGGGGTATAAATGTTGTATTTATAGCTTGCATGAATCAGAGCCAGTCTCACCGCACAAACAAAGGCTGTCGGATAGATGGTGATCATCGACTGTCCGCAATATCTGACAAAGCCATCTGTGCCGGCTGTCTTTGACACTGCAGTCTGCAAACAAGGCTTCGCTGGAAGAATTCAAATCAACCCCACCTTTCAGCAAAGACACCACCGGGAAGGAACGCCTGCACCGCAGTATCCTCCTTGTGATATCGTTGGAGGTACAGGCAGATCGAGGGACATTCCACTCTGGCCCTCAGCTCAATCCACCAGATACTGCGGCCGGCCTGACGATACCACAGATACAGCAGCACGAGCGCGACAGGGTCCCGATTCCGGAGCATATCCTCAAAGACACCGTGAATACTGCGGATGAAGAGCTGCGCGGGACCGGTGGTGACTTTGGTGTCTGGGAGGTTCAGGGTCAGGGCCACAGCGTGGGCGGCCTCGAAGTACGGATTATCTGTCGCCGTCGATGCCTCGTGGAGGAGGCACAAGGCCGCCACGGCCCGCGGGATGCCCTGCACGCCGCGCTGCGGCAAGGGGGCGTTCATCTGCGCAAAGGTGGGCGCCATGACGCGGAAGACGCTGTCCGGGCGTAAGGGATCGACGATGTGCCACAGTGCCATTTTACCTTTGCTCAGACGGACCCAGTCCAATGCATCGGTTTGCTGGTCAGAGGGGGTGAGGGGCCACGATTCTTCCGGTGTGCATGCCTCAGGGGATGAGAAGGCCAGGACGGCCAGCGCAGCCAGGGTGCCCCAGAGTGGATCCTTGTCTTCGGCGTTGATCGGCCGCTCCCTGAACCGTCGGTTGAGAAGGGCGGTGCTCTGGTACCAGTGATAGCACTCGTCCAGACTGCGACGGCTGCCTCCTACGGTGTTTAGGTGGCGGTCGTATGTAAGTGCCACGGCTAGAGAGGCGTGCATGAGATAAGGGTACTGTCGGCCACACAGGGCTGGTGTTAGCCGAGTGTAGATCCAGAACGACTAGCCCTACACGATGTGCAGTACTTACAACGAAGGCTAGTTGCAGGAGCTTGCGATTCACGTGCAACATATTCGGGTCATTTGGGGTCAGAAGACTACTTCCATAGTACCGAGTGAGGAAGTCCTGACACTTCGTGTTCAGCTGATAGAATGTCGATTGGTCCGCCGTCCAGACCGCACCGGCGAGGGGGGGCTGTAGCTCGGCAGTTCCTCGCAGCGCCAGCGATGGCCTCCCTGTCTCAGCGGCGATGGGCTGCAGGTCGGGAATATTGAAGATGAAGTTGCACACTATCCCGAATGCGCAACATTTCTTGCAGTTAGGTCTACTTTCGTCGCACTGAAGAGATTTGGAAAGTACAATCAGCCAGGCACGAATCAATGTAGTCAAGCGAGCCAACCAGCCAACCTTGAACCCACCTTGAGCTTTCGGAGCTTGCAATTGCGGCAGCCATATCTGGATCTTCGCTGAGTAGTCCGCTTCTGAGCAGTAACAGTTTCTGCACATGTTGAGGACATTTTTGTGGGCTGGGAATGGTAGGCAACGGATGGGAGGTAGTCGCAAGTACAAGGTAACTTAGTTCCCATCAATCGTCCCCTCAGGCACCCACATGGCACAGGTGCACACGCTAACCTCCTTTCGGAACGAGATCTTCCACGCGGCGCTAGCCACATTTCGGATGCAGAGGTCTCTGATTGGCTGCGGAGATCTATAATCATCGAGGCAATAGTTGAAAACAACACTTCAGTGACATAAATACCAGCCTCAATCCCCGGTTCGCTGGCCTCCTCTCTATCTTAAAGCCCATCACTTACCTCTCAGAGAATTCCTCTTTCTCCCCAACCCCAAAATCCTAGATCCCAAAATGACCACCCACCACTTAGCCGCCATCTCCCCGGGCCCAGGCCAACCCCTGGAGCTTCGCACCCGGCCCACCCCCCAACCAGGCCCGAACGACCTCCTCATCGCCGTCAAATCCATCGCCCTCAACCCGGCCGACCACATCATGCAAGACACAGGCCTCTTCATCCCGGACACCAGCTACCCGACGGTCCAGGGCTTCGACTTAGCCGGCCTAGTCCTCGAAGTCGGCGACGCGGTCCCCCAGAATGCTTCCTTGCACCCAGGGACCCGCATCGCCGCCTACAGCGCCCTAGTCTGGAAAGCCTGCAGCCCAGACTACGGCGCGTTCCAAGAACGATGCCTCGTGCCCTGGCAGCACGCAGTAATCCTCCCCGACGAAGACGGGCACGAGTTGACCTGGAACGAAGCAGCCACCCTCCCCGTCTCCGTCCAAGTCGCGCTAAGCGCATGGGATGCGATGGGGATTCCCCGCCCTCCAGCAGCAGCAGCAGCAGCAGCAGCAGCCACCGCTCTGCCCTCCACCCCCGACCAGATCGGAAAAAGTCAAGCCCTCCTCGTCTGGGGCGCCTCCTCCAGCGTCGGCAGCATGGGCGTGCAGACCGCGCGCCTCCTCTGCGACTCCCCAACCACCCCCTTCGCCGCCGTCTACGCCACCGCCGGAACACCGCGCAGCCGAGCGTACGTCGCATCGTTGGGTGCGGACCGCATCTTTGATTATCATGACCCCCTCACACCCCGGGAAATCGTCGATACCGCCCGGAAGGACGGCCTGACAATCCGGCATTGCTTTCTGGCGATGGGGCAGTTGGCGGCTTGTCGGGCGGTGGTAGGGGCGTTTCGCGGGGAGGACCAGGTCACAGGAAAGATCGCGTCGGCGCCGCCAGTGCCGCCGGATGCCGGGGTCGTGGACGACGGCGCCGGGGTGGAGACGGTCTTTGTGATGCCTGCGACGGAGGAGGCGGAGCGGCTGGCGCAGTTTCGGGAGTGGCTGGGGTCGTGGTTGAGAGAGAGTTTGGGGAGAGGGAGGATTCGGCCGAGTCCGGAGGGGAGGGTTGTCGGGAAAGGGTTGGGCGCTGTGAATGCTGGGTTGGATGAGTTGCGGCGCGGGGTGAGTTGTGTTAAGTTGGTGGTGGAGGTTGCGGAGTGATTGATTGTATACAGTATATTTGATGGGATGTGCATGGGGCAGGGGGGTGAAGATGCTGGATGTTGGATATAGGGGTTATCTTACTGTATGTACTTCATCTGTTTCAGCACGCGATATCAGAGTGCATCCTTGGAAGTATTTAGTGGACCTTGTAGATATGGTCCGATTTGAGCTTGGTAGACTTCCATGGAGGGTGTGTGGAACGGTCCTGGCCATACAATGCATGTTACGCCGAAGAGCATTTGAGTGGCTGACTCCTCGATAACCCACAGCAGACTATCCCGAACACTGCAGATACTCTGTAGATCTTTGAGACACCACCCAGTTACAATCACCGAATATCAGACAAAGAAAAGATATAATTGCTACCAAGACTGTACATGATCGAACAAGACGTGAAAAAAAAGGAAGTTGAAACACCGCCCACACGCAGACATACACCTAGACCCTTTCTCTTTGATCAAAAAGATTTGATTAATGTCTCGGACTTTTCCTTCCACTGACCTCCGTCATCCCATCCATTAACTTACTGGCCGGGAGAGATCAACTTGCCCTCAGCCCGGCTGTTAGGGTGCCATCCACCGGCATAGGGGGACTGACCGCCGAGCTGCTCAGCGTGCTCGCGGATCCGGGCCTCCAGCTCGGGCCGGAAGTGACGGATCAGACCCTGGATGGGCCAGGCAAAGGCCTCTCCCAGAGCGCAAATGGTGTGACCCTCGACCTGCTTGGTCAGCTCCTGGAGCATGTCAATCTCACGCTCGCGGGCCTGGCCGGTCTCCATGCGCTGCATCATCTGCATGGTCCACTTGCTACCCTCACGGCAGGGCGTGCATTGACCGCAACTCTCGTGCTTGTAGAAGGTGGACAGGCGGGAGATGGCGCGGACGATATCGGTCGACTTGTCCATGACGATGACGGCGGCGGTACCCAGACCGGACTGGGAGTCCTTGAGGGCGTCGAAATCCATGAGCTGGTCGTCACAGATAGACTTGGGGAGGACGGGGGTCGAGGATCCACCGGGGATGACGGCCTTGAGGTTGTCCCAGCCACCGCGGACACCACCGCAGTGACGCTCGATCAGCTCGCGGAGGGAGATGGACATCTCCTCCTCGACGGTGACGGGGTTGTTGACGTGACCGGAGATACAGAAGAGCTTGGTACCGGCGTTGCGCTCACGACCGAAGGAGGAGAACCAGCTGCCGCCACGACGCATGATGGTGGGCACCACCGCCACGGTCTCGACGTTGGTGACCGTACTGGGGCAACCGAACAGACCGACGGCAGCGGGGAATGGAGGCTTGAGACGGGGCTTGCCGGCCTTACCCTCGATCGACTCGATCAGGGAGGTCTCCTCACCACAGATATAAGCACCCATTCCACGGTGGATGTAGACGTCGAAGTCGTAGCCGGTGCCGCAGGCGTTCTTGCCGATCAGGCCGGCCTCGTAGGCCTCGTTGATAGCCCGCTGCAGGACGGTGGCTTCGTGGTAGAATTCACCGCGGATGTAGATGTAGGCGGCGTTGGCGTTCATCGCACGACCGACGACCAAGCAACCCTCGATGAGCTTCTGGGGGTCCTTGCGCATAATCTCACGATCCTTGCAGGTTCCGGGCTCACCCTCATCGGCGTTGACGACCAGGTAGCGGGGGCGGGGGTCCTTGTCCCAGTCCTTGAAGTTCATGAAGGACTAGATGCCACGCCCGATCAGCTCGGAATTGACCAATCGTTTGCCTCCGCACCAGAGGGGAGAGACTTACGTATTTCAATCCGGAGGGGAAACCGGCACCACCACGACCACGAAGACCAGAGGCCTTGATCTCGGAGATGAGCTATACACCGAATGCAGCCATTAGCATTGAATCGTTATCAACACCACATATCCGTCCACATGTCGGCGATGGGGATTGAGGTGGTTATCTTAGGGGCAGCGTACCCAGTCGTGACCCTTGAGAACAATGTCCTTGGTGCGGTGCCAATCACCGAACTTCATTGCCGACTTGAGGTCGGCTCCATGGTGACCGTAAAGGTTGGTGAAGATGCGATCTTGGTCCTTCAGGCCGCCATAGTGTCGTACGGGGGGAGCGTTGTCCTGGACAGTCGCGAAAGAACGGGCAGCCGGGGCCTGGGCTCGGAGGGAGCGGGAGGAAAGGTTGGCGATAGAGGAAGACGAGGGAGCCGCCGCTCGGGATATCATGGTGAATATGGGCCCAGTGGCTGCACGGAGAGACTGGGGGAAAGGAGGTCAATTGGGGGGGAGGCGGAGGGGGATCGAGATGATGAAGGCGTTCAGCAGTTGAGCTTCCACCCTTCCGGCGCGGCAATTCCTGCGCCTGCTGAATATCCGCCTTTCCCCGCCCGCTGATTGGCTTTGTCTCTGTCACGTGATGCATAATGAGTAAGCTGCTTTTTGTGCTACCCACGCAGTTATACCTTACATATAATTCTATTCCTATTCGTCATCAGTCTTGATCTCATCGATTCATTATTCAATTCATTTCGTCTAGTCTACTCCTCCTGAGGAATATACAAGTACGATCCCGTGAACAACATCACCTGCCCATCGCTGGCTAGCAATCTCAGCGGATCTTCAGGCATGTGCACGCACTCCTGCTCTCCTACCATCCACGCCCAGCGTATCCAGTTGGGTGACAGCCACCAGTCATCGTCCTGCCATGGGCCTGTGTAGGCCTCCAATCCAGCAAACACGGCAGAGCTCTGTGACTTCATCTGCTCCAGAGCCTCATCGAATTGGCTCACTAGGTATTCATCGTCCTCATCCTCCAGCGCCCAGGCCACATCATTTGGCGGCGGTGGGTAGTTCTCGAGCAGGAATTTCGCCCATCGAGTAAGTCTGGGCGACAACTGGCCTCCCGTAGAGCCTGACACCTTCGTAGTTGTACCAGCTGCAGCAACGAGACACAAGAAGACGGGAAACGCGAAGGGCGATGTCTCTGCGCTGCCTCTGAGCACCGGAATGGCCTTCTCCGTAGTGCTTAGAACATCCTGGAAGCATGCCTTGCATGGTGGTTGCATCTCCGTTGGCAGAAGATCTGGCAGCTCGGTCAATGTGAATAGTTCCCCGTTCTTGGTGAGAAGTGACTGCCTCTCCAAGATCCGCATCTGCAACCGGGACAAAACTCCTTCCGGGAATTTGCCGGCAGGGATCCGGGCCATATGGGCCCCAAGGATCCTTTTCATTTCTTCCCAGCTACCAGTAAAGTTGTGTTGCCGCGCGCGGTTCAGGGTCCATGCAGCTATCACAAGAGCGGTTTCAGACAGCATGATCTGGCTGTCACGGTACATCTTCGCGTGAGTTTGTTTCAAATTCTCCGGGTGCTGTAGATCTTGGCCGGAGGCTCTCAGCTTCACAGCATGGTTGATAAGTTCAATCACGATCTGGCCCATCGCAGCCAGCAGCGCGCGTGAGTTCCCGTAGGCGCTGGGGATTTTGATGTCGTGGTCCGTGATTTCTAGGGTCTCCAACTCCCGGTTGTTCGCCGCCAGGAC